CTTAAACATAAATATAAAGTTCCACTAAATTTTCTTTTATTTATTTACATTTCATCTAACTGCCGTTATATGGCGCCACGTGTATAATAGTTCTATTGGTCGACGTCTCTGTCACTTTATCTAACCGCTGGTATATGACATGACAGGTATTTGTATCTGTAACGGTTGGGGTTGGGTTATCCCATGACACGTATGTCTCACTGGGTCCATTGTACATCATCCTAAGATGATAGACACCTTCTAGCTAGTGAGTCAGTTTACAGATTTAATGTAGTTGACAACGTCGTCAAGAGCTGCTTCTCTTATACTCGACGAACATAAATCTTCTAATAAATGAAAAAGTCGAGCAATCGCAGAGGATAATGCTTATTCGCACCCTCTGCAGAGGATTCTGACAGCCTCATGATATGGAGATGCTTCCATACTTGTTAATGAACAGTCAGAATCTCTGTGAATAGGCGCAGATTCTTTCTAGTCATAGTATTTGTTTGCTGTAGTGTTGTCAGGTTAACTTAAAAGCTCCCTGGTAACTCTGCAGTTTCTTTTTTTATCCAATCTTTTCTTGAATTTCACAATAGGATGTTCTTTAATTTGGTATGTCACTACCGATTTTCTCAGGTCAATAGAAGGGCCAGGTGCAAAAAGTATTTGGTTGGCTGCCTTCTTGGCCAGTGAATCAGCAAGACGGTTACGTTTCGATGTTGTGGCGTGACCTTTGATCCATGTTAAGGTGACCACATTGTTGATAGATACTTCGGCCAAAGTTTCGTGATCGTGACATTCTACTACTAACCCTAAGTAAATTCGCGGTCTGCTCAGGGTGAGTAGTGCTTGTCTGCTATTTGTGTAGATGAGCATGCACGAAAGTATTGTTACACTACACCCTGCAATAGCCTGGGGCCGTTATAGGAAACGTACAAATACGAAAAGGATTGCAATATCACCCATCATAGTATAGTGTGCTGCGATCATCATAAGTAAAAGTACGAGTAAAAGAAGATAGAATAGTCCAGAAATGTCGGAAAACGTCATTATTTGTCAAGAATATTCTAGGTATTTCAAGAAGGTTCGCGGAAGGTCAAGCAAGCTATATAAGCTGATGATCCTGACGTCAATTTTCAGTTTTATGATAGACGTTACATGTTAATGTTATCAGTTGAATAGTTGTTGTAAAAGTTTAGTTCAAATAAATTGCGATACCAAAAACCTGCGTAACATTGGTGGCAGCGGTGGAATCCAAAGTAGAAGTTCATGATAAATACTAGATCCACTGAGTACGAAGTGTGGATACTTCAGGCCCATCAGCATGGTTTTTGAAGATGAAAGAGGAGAGAATAAGGCGAGAAGAGGAAAAGGAAAGGCGTAGGAAGGAAGAAGAGGAGGAAAAGGAAATGCGTAGGAAGGAAGAACAAGAAGAGAAGAGGGAAAGGCGAGAAGAGCAGAAGAAGGAGAGGCATAGAAAAGCGGATGTGGAGATTATAAATGGCTTAGTACAAATTCAAGAAAACTTCAGGCAAGAGGTCAGCTAAACAGTCGAGTAGATCTCCTAGCACAACAACAGGAACAGCAGCAAGAAAACTTAAAAACTACTTTAGAGAATTTAAAAACTAACTTAGAACAGCAACAAGAGAATCTAAAAACTAATTTAACTAATTTAGAGCAACAACAAGAAAATCTAAAAACCAATTTAGAGCGACAACTGTAAAAGGCTTGAAGAACAAGAGGAGCTGGTTGAAGAAGTTAGTCTACAGGCGACCACTATCAAGCCAGAGGATGACGAAGACAGAATTACCCTTGAAAGCCTAAGAAACACTCAAAAGAAAGACAATGACTTGAAGGTTGTCCGAGAATGGCTCAAAAATGGAATTAGACCTACATGGCAAGAGATAGCCAAATATAGTCGAACCATTAAAGGGTATTGGACTCAGTGGGATTCCCTGTATCTTCACGATGGCCTATTGCATCGGAAGTGGGAGAACCCCGATGGAGTACATGTAGTCTGTTAAGTGATTTTGCCGAAATCACAGCTCAGAAATGTATTAGAGGATCTTCATAGCAGCCGTTCAGGAGGACACTTTGGTACTAAAAGAACACTTGTACGAATTCGGGAAAGATTTTATTGGGTCAATTGCAGATGGAATGTAGAAGATTGGTGTAGGGAATGTGACCTCTGTAATGGCAGAAAAGGGCCCAAAACAAAAAGTCGAGATAAAATGACAGAGTACCTTTTCGGAGAGCCTTTCGAACGAATCGCCATAAATATCCTCGGATCACTTCCCTTAACAGAAAGGAGAAACAAATACTTGATGGTGGTTATGAACTATTTCTCAAAGTGGCCCGAAATAATGCCTATTTCTAATCAGGAAGCGAAAACAGTAGCAGAAGCATTTATGACGAACGTCATTTCGAGACCCCTGGAATTACATTCTGACCAAGGACGAAATTTTGAATCTGAATTATGGCAAGAATTAATGAAACTGTTAGACATCAGGAAAACACGCACAGTCCGACGGAATGGTAGGAAGACACGATAGAACGATATGCCAGTATCTATCAATGTTAGTCTCTGATAATCAAAAGGACTGGGACACTTTAATTCCTTTATTTCTGCTAACCTATCGAAGTTCTGAACATGAAACGACCAGTTATACCTTATCCATGATTATTACCGGAAGGGAGATGAAAATTCCCCATGATCTTCTTTTTGGAAGGCAGCCTCCTCGTGAAGAAGAGATGCGTACTCCTCCCACGTACATATAAAACTTAAAATAAAGATTAGAGAAGGTATACGAATTCGCTTGTCAACGTTTTAAAGTTAATAGCGATAAAGCAAAAGGTAGAATCGACATGCATGCCACAGAAACACATTTTGAGAGAGGCGATCTAGTATGGCTGTACAATCCCAAGCGCCAAAAAGGACTTTGTCAGAAGCTGCAACGAAACTGGGAAGGCCCCTACACCGTCCTCAAGAAAATCAATGACCTGATCTACAGCATTCAGTTGTCAACGAGAAGTAAACCCAAGGTAGTTTACATTGAAAAGTTAACGCCATACCGTGCTTCAGATCCTCCCCGTTGGCTCCAACCAGATCCCAGTAATCAAGTTATTCCAGACGAATAATTAGAGAAGAGTGGGCAATGTTACACTACACCCTGCAGTAGCCTGCCGCCGATATAGGAAACGTACAAATCCGAAAAGAAGTGCAATGTCACCCATCATACTATAGTGTGCTGCGATCATCATAAGTAAAAGTACGAGTAAAAGAAGATAGAATAGTCCAGAAATGTCGGGAAACGTCATTATTTGTCAAGAACATTCTAGGCATTTCGAGAAGGTTCGTGAAGCTATACAAGCCGATGATCCTGGCGTCAGTTTTCAGTTTTATGATAGACGTTACATGTTAATGTTATCAGTTGAATAATTCTTGTAAAAGTTGAGTTCAAATAAGTTGCGATACAAAAAACCTGCGTAACAGTATATACGAAAAATAAACCATAAAAAAGGTTCAGCAGCATTGACAAAAGGTCACTATCGAAACGTTATTGATCCGGTTCGAATAGGGAAATTCGGAAGGTAATTCGGAATGTCATGTAGATGTCATATTTTATTAACGCCCTATACCAGGAAAGTAACATTAAAAAAATAAATATATAATAGTCATTTTTAATGAGTTTAAAATTGTTAAATTCGGTTCAGTTTGAAACAAAAAAAATGTCTTTTCGCAGGTTTTTGCTAATTTGTTGGTAATTAAGCATACTCTTTTAATAATGCGTGGTGAAAAGCGGGAATAATATTTAAATGAGCTAAACTAGTATGATGTCCTTGAGATACAACTATTCTTCGGTTACACAATAAATTAAATGTGTTTTGTTCAAATCTGTTCTGAAGAAGAGAAGTATGAATTGTTTCGTATTTGGTTAAAAATAAACTATACATTATATAGATTCGTTTTTGGAACTTAATTACTCGTAGTTTAGAATTAAATAAATGACCGATGCCAATACAGCCTTAGTTTAAAAATGGCAATTCCAGTAGAGAATCGCACGGTAAAAGCTATTAAGTATCCACCGTAGCAATATGAAAATTTTTATTTAAATGTACGAATGGAACAACAAGTTAAAAAACACAGTTACGGTAGTTGAATTCTTGGTGAAGGAAAATCATCCGGTTATCTTTGATAAATCGCTGCATTTTCTGAATGTCGTATTATGCATGAGATTTATTTTTAAACTGTAAAATTTAAGCTATTAAAAAAATATTTAGATTTTGATTTTCTCTCGAATTCCTCGACATGTCTGTAAAATGGCAAGGGGATCGGTTATATCCAGTCTGGTTAAATCCGAGAATAATAGGCTGCAAGGAAATGCGGAAAGAATGCTGTCATCTGTCATTACGCCAAAGTTCCTTGATATTGTATATTGCATAATATATGGCAAATCTGTCATCATTCTTCACACATTCCTGACATTCCACTACTGCCTATTATTTCCAGATGCAACTATAGTGATTATACCAAGAATTTTAAATTATAATATATCAGATTTTTAAATGGTTTATGAACCGTAACTTCATTTTCTAAAATCGTGAAAATAGCGCTGGTTAATTATTAAATAACTTTATTCAATAGAGGTCCATTAAAAGGACCATTGGTAGTAAGGAATTTTAATGCATTGACATTTTTGATATTGCTTGATTAAATTTAATTTTATAACGTTTTTACCTAACGTTTTCGCTTTATTCTCACTCATATAAATTGCTTAATTGTATATCATTCTATGAGGGCTTGATTGCATGATGACGGATCAAATCAATCAAACATTTGCGAACGTATATTTAAAGGTTCTAATTCAAAGCCATCTAAATATAAATCTCTACCGTTTTGGTAGAACTAAAAATTATAAAAATACGAAATTTACAATTTCGATCCCATTAAAATTACTTAAAATTATTTAGCATGTACAATTTAAAATCGTTCAGAATACGTGCATTAAAATACTTACAGCTTCTTCGCTTTTTCTATTTTTTCTAATATTTCTATGTTTTCTATTTTCATGTTCACATGCTCTATAAGCAACTATCACCACATTCTTTTTCAACTGTCGGTGACATTTTAGAGAACACACATTCTTATAAGTATGATGATCAGATCCACATACCGGTCGATATATATTCGGGCAAATGCAGTCTAATGGAATTACCTTTACTAAAAGTCTTGATGTAATATCTAAATATTGCTTCATTGGCTTAAAAATAAAACTAACATTGAAGGAAATTGAACGGTTTAGAATAATTTGATGGAAAGGGACAAAAAGCCAGTCATTTTAAAATAGAGAATTAATTAATGAAAATTAATTATATGCAGTAATCTTCTGTATCTGTAATTTATTGCGCTAATATAAAAAATAAGAAATATTAAGAAAAGTCAGAAGGAAAAGTCAGAAGGAAATGTCAGGAAATGTCAGAAAATGTCAGACAATGTCAGGAAATGTCAGGAAATGTCAGGAAATGTCAGGAAATGTAAGGAGATGGCAGGAAATATCAGGAACTGTCAGTAAATGTCAGAAAATGTGAGGAAATGTCATAAAATGTCAGGAAATATCAGGAGATGGCAGTAAATATCAGAAACAGTCACGAAATGTCAGGACATGTAGGGAAATGTCAAGCAATATCAGGAAATATCAGGAAATGTCAGGAAATGTCAGGAAATGTCAGGAAATGTCAGGAAATGTCAGGAAATGTCAGGAAATGTCAGGAAATGTCAGGAAATGTCAGGAAATGTCAGGAAATGTCAGGAAATGTCAGGAAATGTCAGGAAATGTCATGAAATATCAGGAAATGTCAGGAAATGTCAGGAAATGTCATGAAATATCAGGAAATGTCAGGAAATATCAGGAAATATCAGAAAATGTCCGGAAATGTCACATAAATGTCAGATAAATGTTAGGAAATGTCACGAAATGTCACAAAATGTCAGGAAATGTCGGGAAATGACAGGAAATGACAGGAAATGTCGGGAAATGTCAGGAAATGTCAGGAAATGTCAGAAAATGTCAGGAAATGTCAGAATATTAGAAAATATTAGGAAATATTAGGAAATATTAGGAAATATTAGGAAATATTAGGAAATATTAGGAAATATTAGGAAATATTAGGAAATATGAGGAAATATTAGGAAATATTAGGAAATATTAGGAAATATTAGGAAATATTAGGAAATATTAGGAAATATTAGGAAATATTAGGAAATATTAGGAAATATTAGGAAATATTAGGAAATATTAGGAAATATTAGAAAATATTAGGAAATATTAGGAAATATTAGGAAATATTAGGAAATATTAGGAAATATTAGGAAATATTAGGAAATATTAGGAAATATTAGGAAATATTAGGAAATATTAGGAAATATTAGGAAATATTAGGAAATATTAGGAAATATTAGGAAATATTAGGAAATATTAGGAAATATTAGGAAATATTAGGAAATATTAGGAAATATTAGGAAATATTAGGAAATATTAGGAAATATTAGGAAATATTAGGAAATATTAGGAAATATTAGGAAATATTAGGAAATATTAGGAAATATTAGGAAATATTAGGAAATATTAGGAAATATTAGGAAATATTAGGAAATATTAGGAAATATTAGGAAATATTAGGAAATATTAGGAAATATTAGGAAATATTAGGAAATATTAGGAAATATTAGGAAATATTAGGAAATATTAGGAAATATTAGGAAATATTAGGAAATATTAGGAAATATTAGGAAATATTAGGAAATATTAGGAAATATTAGGAAATATTAGGAAATATTAGGAAATATTAGGAAATATTAGGAAATATTAGGAAATATTAGGAAATATTAGGAAATATTAGGAAATATTAGGAAATATTAGGAAATATTAGGAAATATTAGGAAATATTAGGAAATATTAGGAAATATTAGGAAATATTAGGAAATATTAGGAAATATTAGGAAATATTAGGAAATATTAGGAAATATTAGGAAATATTAGGAAATATTAGGAAATATTAGGAAATATTAGGAAATATTAGGAAATATTAGGAAATATTAGGAAATATTAGGAAATATTAGGAAATATTAGGAAATATTAGGAAATATTAGGAAATATTAGGAAATATTAGGAAATATTAGGAAATATTAGGAAATATTAGGAAATATTAGGTAATATTAGGAAATATTAGGAAATATTAGGAAAATATTAGGAAATATTAGGAAATATTAGGAAATATTAGGAAATATTAGGAAATATTAGGAAATATTAGGAAATATTAGGAAATATTAGGAAATATTAGGAAATATTAGGAAATATTAGGAAATATTAGGAAATATTAGGAAATATTAGGAAATATTAGGAAATATTAGGAAATATTAGGAAATATTAGGAAATATTAGGAAATATTAGGAAATATTAGGAAATATTAGGAAATATTAGGAAATATTAGGAAATATTAGGAAATATTAGGAAATATTAGGAAATATTAGGAAATATTAGGAAATATTAGGAAATATTAGGAAATATTAGGAAATATTAGGAAATATTAGGAAATATTAGGAAATATTAGGAAATATTAGGAAATATTAGGAAATATTAGGAAATATTAGGAAATATTAGGAAATATTAGAAAATATTAGGAAATATTAGGAAATATTAGGAAATATTAGGAAATATTAGGAAATATTAGGAAATATTAGGAAATATTAGGAAATATTAGGAAATATTAGGAAATATTAGGAAATATTAGGAAATATTAGGAAATATTAGGAAATATTAGGAAATATTAGGAAATATTAGGAAATATTAGGAAATATTAGGAAATATTAGGAAATATTAGGAAATATTAGGAAATATTAGGAAATATTAGGAAATATTAGGAAATATTAGGAAATATTAGGTAATATTAGGAAATATTAGGAAATATTAGGTAATATTAGGAAATATTAAGAAATATTAAGAAATATCAGGAAATTTCGGTAGTTACGCATAGCAGATTTGATTGTTTTTACATAGTCAAATAATTTTAACGTTTTGCATTTTTATTCATTTGCTATGTTGTATATAAGATATGTCAAAACGCAAGGTTACAATTTTCTCAGTTTCTTCAAATGGAATACTCCGTATCATCAATTAATTAAGTTTTTTTTTATTTTGTTTGGAATTCCTTACACCAAAACGCATTTATTTAATTATGTATTTTATTTCCAATGGTTTATATTACTTCCGATGTTAAATATAAAATCATCCATTTTATGTTACAAATGAGTTAGCAAAAATGAAATTAGTATTTGATCCTAAATAATTCCATATGTTCGAAAGAAAATAAGAATAATATTATTAATATGTGAAGTAATAATAGATCTCAATATTTTAAACATAACAACATATTCAGATGCATGCTTCCGAAGAATAAGATAAATATAAAAATGGTTCGATTTAAATAGAAAAACACCTCAATTTTTGGAGTACGTAAATAATATTTAACAAAATTTAATAATAATATTTTTTAAAGCCCAATTTTGTTTCCCTCGCATTTACATTTATAACTAAAGAAATTTATTCTATAATACTTACGTTTTCGGTTTTTGATGGAGTTTTCTGGGGTAATTCTACTTCTTTGCAGGGTGCCTGATCAACTATAAACAGTTTGTAGTCATATTTTCGTAGACAATTCAGAAAACATTCATTGGGATAGGTTCTATTATCAGATCCACAAACACGTGGTCCAATCTTAGGACAAACGCAGGGATCAGACTGTTAAAAAAAAATCAGCAGATTTTATTTTACTTTAGGTATTCAGTGTAAGTTCTGGACATTTAGTAAAGATGCTTGAGCCAAGGTCAATAAAAAAGTTTTTAAAAAATAAAGGATTCAAATAAAATAGAAGGGAGAGACACATATTACATAAGAAGAGTAGTAAGAGGCTAATTACAAGCGAGTATAAAAGAAGCGCACGAGCCGCGTTAGCGGCGAGTGAAGTATTTATACAATCATGTAATTGCTCTTACAACTCGAGTAATGTACTACACTTTATCTACAACCACAATCATACATTCTTAATAACGAGAAGGTTTTCGTAATATATAACATTTATTAAATACATTCAATTAAAAATACCGTAAATTGCAAATGCAACTACTGAATTAAATGAAGAAAAATTGTTTCAAATACCAACCTTTGTTAATATTTTTGTGAATCAAGAGCTAAATATTTACTTTTTTATCAAAACAATTTCTGCTTTTAAAAACCGTCTGACTGCTTTTAATTTTGGGTACGTTTTAAAATTCACGTTATTTTATATGGAAATGAAGATTCTTGACATCGAATACATTGCCTAAAATGATGCAGGTTTGAATTGTTCCATTAGTTTCCCAAAATATGCCAAAAGCACATTCTCAAAGAATGTTCATACCTTGCCCTTGATTTTAAAGGCTGTAACTTGTTAGTAAAATATTAGCAGCTTTTTTAAGAATATCAGGAGTTCCTTGAAATTCATTTTTACTATCTGACAAACTCATTTTATTCTTTAAAAAAATAATTTTGTAACTACCACAATGGCGATTTTTCTACTTCTGAAATATCAAAACTGTTTATCGTAACCATGGCGATCACTTAGCAATGGAGTAGCAATGGATAGTTTGATAAATGAAACTGTTATGTAATATATAGAATTACGTAACAGTTTTGGGATTTCATTACGTAACAGTATCTGTAATGATGTATTTACTTATAAACAAAATGATACATAATTAACGATTTACTGTGGTGGTTGTAGATAAAGGACATTACATCCGTAGTCACAAAGCATTGTTAAATAGTTACCCACTTGTAAATAATTAAAAATAGAAACGTTAACGTCAATTCACGGAAAAAGTAAAGTGGTACGATCACATCGTTACGGAAATTCAAATAAATGAGGTTATGTTTTCTCAAAATATTACAAACTAAATAGATGAATCAACGAAAAAAACAGAATATACATATTTGGAGAAGGTTCTAATCTTAAAGTGTTTATTAAACATATGAATATTTGTTAATTTTATAGAGAAGAACCTCTTGGCGACGTTGTCAACTACATTTAATCTGTAGGCTGGCTCACGAACTAGGAGGTGCCTATCATCTTAGAAGGATGCACAATGGGCCTAGTGAGGCCTAAGTGCTGTGGGGGGAGTAACCGCACGTTACAGATAAAGATACAGGTTGAGTAGTGCTTGTCTGCTATCTGTATAGATGAGCGTGTTCTTTTCTGTGATAGTGTTTCTGTGTGATTTCTTTTGCTGCTATGAAAATCCCCGTGAGTTCTGTTAGAACTACACTGGAACTATTGCTCATTTTATGTTTAGGTCTAAGAATATGGAGTATATTCCACATCCTGAGTTTTGTTTTGTTTTAGAACCGTCGGTTGTAGATATGAATCATACCTGCAACTACCGGCTCTTCTATTTGTTCTGTTATAACTTTATAGGACGTATGAAGATATATCTCCTGCCAAAAGCGACGTCTCTCCTCTATCAGGTTCTATTCCAACCTTGCGGAGGCGTATTATGGTCATCAGAGCAACCTCCTTGATATAAATATCAAGGAAAGTGAAACTAAGAATGACTTCTATGGCTCTGGTCGGTGTGATTTTCATGGCTCCTGTTATGTTAAGACATGCTTAACTTTAAATTTGTTCTAGTTTGCCGATAGCTGTTAATTTTTGTGTTTTAGGTACCCAGACAACTGCACCGTATGTAAGCATAGGTTTTATGATAGACGTGTAAGTCCATACGACGACTCTGGGTTAGAAACCCCAAGAGTGTCCCACGTTTCGGCGGCATTGCCCATGAGCAATGTATGCCCTTTTGACTCTGTTTTCTAAATGTGAGTTCCATGTTAACTTGCTGTAAAGCTGAGGTACCTAGGTACTTCATTTCTGTTGCAAAGTTTAGTTTTGTGTTTAGTAGGTTTTAATTCTATTCCTATCCTTTTCCTTGTGAAAACAACCATTTCTGTTTTTTTGGGATTGGTAGACGATAAATAGTCCTTGCACCTTGAGAGCTACTTGCATTCTTTTGCAAAGTATATTTTCTCAAAATTTCCTGTTTGCGGAATGACCAGGTCATCTTCTACACTATTGTGTAGTGACTGTCATTATTGAGGCAGCTGAAGAGGGTGTCGAGGATCATGTTCCATAGTAAAAGTGATAGCATCCGTCGCTGTGGACATACTCTGGAAACCAATTCTCTTATATTCACATTTTTTACACTTATGTTTACTGCTAGCTTTGAGAGCATGTTATTTATCCACCCACTGACCATCTGTGGAACATTTCTCTTGGTTAGTGAGTTAATTATCTTGGAGAAGGTGGTTCTATCAAAAGCACCTTCTATGTCCATGAAAATACCCATGGCAGACTCCGGTCAGCAAATAGGTGAAGAGCTGAATCAATAGATCTGCCTGAGGTGTATGCATGTTGATTTAGATTTAGTGATGTTGTAATTACCGCATCCCATATATATTTTTCGCACAGCCTTTCCAATGTCTTCATGGAAAATGATGTCAGACTAATGGATCGATATATGTTTCTGAAATACCTAAATTTAAGAAATTGATAGAAAAACATGTAAATTATGTCAGTTTATCTAGATTAAAATAATTAAATAACAGTCCGTAAAATATCGTCCAACTCTAATGTAATGCGAGTCGTTTTTGACCAGTCGCTGTCTGCCTTATTTGTGCCTGTTTACGGCCTCAGTTGTCCAATTACCAAAAATATAAAAAGAATATTTAATATAACAAGTAGCCTCCGTAACCCCTTTTTGGTACGTCTTTGTTGGATGAACCAAGACGATTGGTCAGCGTAGAGCTAATGCTGTAGAAGTTTGCTGACAGTTTGCTCTAGTACAATAGAGAACTCTTTTAGAGCCAGTGAGCACCGCATCATTTAGGTATAAATACTATAAATAGGTTGTATGCTGTTGAAGCAGGAAGACTTTGTTGTGTAGGATACTGTTAAGTTGTAAATAAATCATCACCGGCCGACACGATTCTTGGGTCTGACTTCTGCATGTGAAATTTTGGTTTCTCCTGTTACAAATAAAGGAAAAAATAATTTTTCGAATCAAAGTTTGCAATTTTTCAAATTTTCAAGAAAAATTACTGATTATGTTTTTTTAGAATTTAATTTTTGATTACGATTAACAAAGATTTTTCCTAACATCCGTCTTTTTAATTCAAGAATTGTGATCAAAAATAGCATATAAATGTAAAATAACAAAAAATCAATTTCAGAAATAAATATTTTTAGTAGTTCTCTTATGTTTGTATGGGCTTTTTCGTATTAAACCCCAAATGTAATCTCCCATCATATTCTAGTTGTACTGCTCTTGGTAACATTGTTCAAAGTCCATCACATCTTGTTGAAAACGTTCTCCTTGCTCCTCTGAGTGGGCACCCATGTTGTCTAAATTTATCCAGGTGAGAATGTAGCATATTATGAAGTTTATGGTACATTCTGCAGCTCATAATTTAAAAAAATTTAAGTATAGTTTTAATCGACTTTTTGTAATTGTCAGCTATGTTGTTACCAAGAAAACCACTAACTACTGCTTTAAGACTTGTTTTTCATGAGCATTGAGGAATTCTGTGAAATCATCACTGGTTATAATTTGTTTTATTTGTGGACGAAAATACCCACCTTTACTTTAGCTTCAGTTGATTTGGGAAAAATCACTTTAAATATTCAAAAGCTTGAAAAATTGGATTCAGAGCTTTTACAAATTGCTTCATTGGGTCCAGTTTTATATGTAACGGTGGCATCAATATATTCTTAGGCTCTACAATTGGTTCCGATTCAACATTATGTTTTGCTATATAAAATTTTAGTACCCATTTTTTTGTCTTGATTCCGGATTTTGAGGTTAAAATAGGCTTCGCAAAGTTTCAAATTTGTTGCCATAGCAAAATGTTTGCTTCTTGTATTATTTTGTACTTTGAATAAAACAAGCGTATCTCGAAACACGAGTCTTTATTATTTCGAAGTAACTGAAGATATTCATATATGCTACTTTGACAACTGAAGTGGCTGGCTGTCATCCTAAGGCGCTGGGTTGTGCCACCACTTACAAACGAATGACACCAACTATGTAGTGGTTAGTAAGCCAACAACGGGCCACTTAACCTAATATCTTACACTTCTTACTTTAATGAAATCACTGCAAATAAAACAGAATGAGTCAACATCCTTTTTACACTGTCTTGATGCCATTTTTTAACTTAGTAACACACAAGGACGGTTGTTACAGCTGTTAGAGACAAGTAAATACTCACTACTGTGCCTTTCACAAATAATATGCAACTAGCTATCAGGTTGATCAAAGTGCTACCATCTGTTGCTCATAAAATTAATTTAAATCTTTAAATTTTACTTTTCGACGTAAATAAGACAAAAGCAAACTTTAGAGGAATGTACAGATAATTAAACTGTTTAAAATAATTTTTTAATTAAAAAAAAACGACTTCAAAATCGTACAAGAGCCCTAAAAAATTGAGATTTTTTATTTTCTCATAGTTCATCATATCCTGACCAATTGTATGTGGAATTACCTCTGAGGTATCCCCTTTCTAACAAAAAAATAAACATAGAAATCGGACAACGTGATAAAGAATTATCGCTGAAAATAGATCAAAAATTAAAAGTTTGATGATTTTCTCATAGACCTCATCATTAGATTTTGACCAAATTTTAATGGAACCACCCCTGAAGTACCCCCTTACTAACAAAAAAATAATCATAGAAATCGGATAAGGTGGTTAAGAATTATCGTTAATCATACATAAAAATGAAGAATTTGAGGATTTTCTCATAAACCAAATAATTAGATTTTGACCAAATTCATAGGGGACCACCCCTAAGGTACCCCTTTACTAACAAAAAAGAATCATAGAAATCGGACAAGGTAGTAAAGAATTACAGCTAAACATACATTAAAAATGAAGAGTTTGAGTATTTTCTAATGGACCCAATTATCAGATTTTAATTAATATGAGAACACACCTGAAGTATCTTATTTCTAACAAAAAAATAATCATTGAAATCGGTCACCGTGTTAAAGAATTGCCGCTGAACATACATAAAAAAAATATATCGCGACGAATTGAGAACCTTCTCCTTTTTTGAAGTCGGTTAATAAATAAACGTTACATTATAATGACGTTTCTATCTTTAAGGTTTAACATGTGGGTAAATTTTTGTTGCTTTGTAAATAAAGTAATTAGTCTAATAAATAAAACATAAACTTACACTCGTATCATATTCAATTTTGTATTCACATGCTGATCTTTTGGGTGTATCTAATTTAGAATCTTCCTGTAGTAGGCACCTCATTTTACAAGAATTTTTGTATATTTTACCATCGTTTCCACACACAAGTTTTTTTTGATTTGTACAAGCGCATCTTCTATGTTTGTGTCCATTTGAATTCTATTTATAGAAATAAGTATATGTTAATGATTATGATTTTAATTTTAGGCACTATAAATAATAGGCACATGCCCTAGGTCACATAACCGCATTGTCTATTTAACCTTATAATATTTAGTTCAGTAAGAGGTGATTTGTGTTTTCTCCATGCAGCTTAGTTATTATTGACTCCCTAAACTTTATAGGAATTTAATACCCAGCAAAACAAAGAATCAGCCGGTTACGAGAACGTTCGTTAAAATTTACAAGGCTGATAAACTTTGACAAATCATATTCTGAAAAATATCTACTGATTGTCTAAAAATTAATGATTTTTTTCTAACATAGTAAAACTTTCTGGAAAATAAATATTCGGGAAAGTAAAAATGTTTGCTTTTAATACAGTGTCGATCAAATTAGGGGAGGCAAACACTACTTATTTACGTTAAAACCAGAAGGAATGTTAAACGCCTTACGGAAGCATTTATAAATACTAGTTTTTGCAGTTTTTTTCAACTACTTAATAAATGAAATTAGAAAATTAAAAAACGCTTTTCGAAAAATATCTATTTTAAAAATAATTATCATAATTACTTCTACCTGTACGTCCGATGTCACGTTTTCTGTCAAAAACGAAAAATGAATATCAACTTGAAAATTTTAGGAAAATCAAGCTCTATAAGATGACGCCTATTGATACTGAAAAAAAAAATTGAAATAAAATAGGGGTTGAGGGCGGTTAAAATATTAAAAAAGATATAACTAAAAAATAAAAATATATCTATTTGAAATTTTTAAAATAACATCAAGATTTATAGGGAAAACTCTTTGATTTAAAAAAATGTAATTAAAAATGGAGAAATGAAATTAAAAAAAAATTTAAATCAAAAATGAAAAGCAATATCAACATGAAATTGAGGTGGTTAAAGGAAGTTTAAATATTTAAAAAATTCTAACTCAACGAAAAATAATATTAACTTGAAATTTTTAGGTCTATAAAAAAATAATTGTTAACAAAATGGGGGTTGAAATAAACCCTATAAAGGAATGAAGTATTTTATTCTGAAAAAATCTTAATAATAGTGGGGGGACAAGGAGGTTGATTTATTGAAAAATACTAACAAAAAACAATATCCAATTTAAATTCTTAGGAAAAATTAAGCTTTATTAGTGGATAAAGCCTATTTATACTGAACAAAATCTGGATAAAAATGAGGGGCTAAGGGGTATTAAAATATTTTAAAAAATCCTAACCCAAAAACGCAAACTAATATAAACATGAAATTTTTAACAAAAATGAAGCTCTGTGAGGGGACTAAGCCTATTGATTTAAAGCAAAAATTGTTAACAAAAATTTTGTTACAAAATGAAGGTTAAGGGGATTAAAAAAATTGGAATTAAATACCAAAATCGATATTAACTTGAAATTTTTAGTAAAAATTAAGCTCTAGGAGCCTATTGATTCTAAAAAACAAAAACTTAATAAAGATGGTGTGATAAGGGGGGTAAAAATATTAAAAAAAAATTCTAAATCACAAACAAAAACGATATCAAATTGAAATCATTAGAAAACTTCAAACTTTATAAGGGGATAAAGCCTAATTATTATGAACAAAATCTGAAAATGGGGGTTAAGGAGGTCTCTTAAACTGTGAAGAGTTTAATAGCAAATAATGTCAAGCATTAGATATCTTCATTCTAATTTATATCTAAATTGGTCGACTCGGAGGGTTTTATTACAATTTGTTTGTTAATATAAACAAATATACAGGGTATTTCATAGTTAAAGATACCTTTATTACTGAGATACAGGGTGTTTTACCGATTTTGCTCATTTCATTCTAAGATCCTAAATAATGAATCATCTAGTACACATTTTTAATATTCGGTACGTAATATTTTTCTTACAGTTTACAAATGACAAATATACTGCACAGAAAAAACATCCAGGTCCGGGTTAACAAAAAATCATTAAATTTTTGGGACCTCAAAACAATACCTTGTATGTTAAAATTTTTTATATCTCTTCACTTAGTTGAAAAAAGCACAAAAAATATTTAAATAGTCAACTTTTTTATTCCAGCTACAATATTACTAGTCAATTTTGGAACTTTAATTAAAACTATTGCGCAGTTGGTGAGTTAAAAATAAAATATTATGGACTTTTAATGTCAAATAATAAAAACTATTTAATGGAAACTCGTTCTCATCTTATTAAGTAGTTATTGCTTGTTTTTATTTTTATAGTGTAGACCAATGTAATTACAGATCCGCAAGTTTTAAAGATATTTTTAAACGCACTATATACACGTGGTTCTATATTGGCTTTGTGTTCATGCTATTATTTTGAATATTAGTAAAAATAATAATTGTAAAAGGAAAAACTAAGTTCATAATTCAATAAATAAACTTTTCAGTAAAAACTAAAAGTTACGTAATTCAAAATTCCTATTTAAAAAAAATCACTGATATAGGAGAAAATACAAATTACATAGATTTTTTAGAAGGTTACAATTTTTTCAAATACCTTTCTAAAATTCTTAAGAAGTAAATGATTTAAAATTCAATCGAGTGTAGCTATGGGCCTCCGTACCATAATCTGTACAGTGTTTCTTATTAAGGGCGGTTAGCAGCTGTATTTCAGAAAATATATGAATATTGAATATGGCTAATTCATAGTTTGTCAATTCTGGAAAAAATTGGGTTGTCATGGATACTTTTGGGGACCAAAAAAAGGATTTTCAAAAGAAATTTCGGTCACAATGTAAAAAATGATAAAATAAACAGATGTTGAATTTTAAATAAAATACAAAGTAGTAAGCGGGAGCAGAATAGAAGAAGATTATACAGGATGGGCCACTTAAAAGTTTCACTCAACCTTATTTTCGTTATTCATTGTGATATCGGAATATTTTTTTTTTGTTTGAAAAATTGGTACAAATACTTTCTTATAACGGATACAATTATTCTGTGACGTCATGGCTTACTTCCGGTTTTTCTGGAAATAACAGAAAATCGCAATTTATTTTTAAATCGAAACCCGTTTTTTTATTGAAAATTTAAATTTTTGGAACATTTTTGGATAAGAAGCGTGTATTGAAATATTTCTGTAAGCTGTCAAAATGACCGCCATATTGGATAATATTTTTTCCACACATATTACTTTTAATTCGTTTATGGAAAAAAATATGGAATTGTATGATCTTTATAAAATCATTGTAAGCTTCAAAATTCCTATTGAGGCCCACTTAGAGTACACCTGTGGCGTATCTAAGCATTTTCATTATTAGCAAACCGTTTTAATAATTCCATCCGCTTTTATCTTCGTTGTTAATTGAGATATTGGAACGAAAACTTTTTTGTTTAAAATCTCTTTTTTTATTGAAAATTTGAGTTTAAGGGACATTTATGGATCAAAACCGTGTATTAAAAATCAGCTGTCAAAATGACCGTCATATTGGAGAATATTGTTTTTAATATGTTGCTGTTAGTAGTTTATGGAAAAAAATATGTTAATTTTAAAAATCTTTGTAAGCTTCTTCGATCCCATTGACACCCATTTATAGTATACCAGTGGCGTATCTAAGATTTTTGTTATTTCTTAAGCGTATCTGCGAATTGAATAACAAAAAATAGTTTTTATACCTATAATAATAAGTGTATAAAATGGCCTTCAAAAAAGGCCTTTACATACGAATTGCATACAATATTTCTACTACCGTACTAAGATTAGAAATGCAGAGATTACTTTACTCATTAGTGCGTAAACTGTTTTATTTTACGCACTAGCGTGTAAAGAAAATTTGAAATACAATATGTCATTTGTTATGTCAAAATACTAAAAATTGTGTCTTGTTTACGCACTAGCGTGTAAAAATTTTTACTTTATGCACTAGTTAAAAAAGTAAAACTTTATGCACTTCATGGTGTGCGTAACGTGCGTACTTTATGCACAGTTGTAGAAAAATAAATTATTGCGACACGCAACAGATCTTTAAATTTAAAAAAATGTTTATTTGTATTTTAAATTTTAAAGCAGCTTAATTTTATCAGAAAGCTTTAAAGAACTAATATAATTATAGAAGACCTACCATACAATAATAAATTAACATTGATAACCTCAAGAAATTAAAATTTTTAATAAAAAAGTGGGTTTTCATTTAAAAATAAAAAATAAATTGCGATTTACTGTTATTTTCGAAAAACCGGAAGAAAGTCATGACGTAACAGACCAGCTGAATGAAGTATTTGACAGTATTTATTCCAAGTTTTCATTCTATCTCAATTAATAAGGAAGATAAGAGCGGGTGGAATTATTAAACAGTTTGCTAATAATGAAAATGCTTAGATACGTCACTGGTGTACTGTAAGTGAGTCTCAATAGGAATTTTGAAGCTTACAATGATTTTATGGAGATCATACATTCCCATATTTTTTTAATAGTAACATGTTTAGAACAAATAATATCAGATATGGCGGCCATTTTGACAGCTGACAAAATTTTTAATATAAGCTTCTCATCCAAAAATATCCAAGAAATTCAAATTTTTAATAAAAGAGGGGTTTTGATTTTAAATTAAAAAATAAATTGCGATTTTCAGTTATATCCGGAAAGTAAGCCATGACGTCATAGACTAATTGGATCCAGTATATGAAAGTATCTATTATAAGCTTTTAAACAAAAAAGTCTTTATTCCTATATCTTAATTAACAACAAATAGAGGATGGTAATGGAAATAAAGGATGGTAAAAGAGGATGGAATTATTAAACGGTTTGCTAATAATAAAAATGCTTAGATACGCCACTGGTATACGGTAAATGGGTCTCAATGGGAATTTTGAAGCCCACAAAGATTTTATAAAGATCATACATTCCTAAATTTTTTTCCATAAACGAATAAATAGTAACATGTTTAAATTAAATATGGTGGCCATTTTGACAGCTGCCAGAAAAATTTCAATACACGATTATTATACAAAAATTCAAATTTACAATAAAAAAAGTGGGTTTCAATTTAAAA